TGGTGGTTGCCGTGTCCGGAGTGGTCACACGACAAGCGAGTGGATGCCGCCCCCCACGCGGGCAACAGCGGTGATGGTGGCCGCCGGTGCCGGGCTAGCAGTCGGCGGTGGAGCTCTCACCTCCCAACTTTCCTCACAAACGACATCTGTTTGCCCAAGATTGTTGTTCTCTTCTGTTGCTGCCTTACAAAACTCTGCGCTTGAAAGTCCAACATAGTCTACATGAATAAAATTGCATAGTAGACGTGAGCGTCAGATGCGGATGCTCTCAGCGTTCCCAATGCGCTAGACTAGCCTCTTTATGAGGCTAGTTGTAATAGGGAGTATCATATACTAGTATCATGCATATGATACTTGTGTATGATACTACCTTCCTAATGCATGGTATCATGTAGTACTTTATTTATTGACATGCATGACACAAAGTAGCATAGTATTTATTATGATACGGTATCATGATATGATACTTCATCCTCCACGGAGCTTAATACTAACACCATTACGACCAGCCTGAGAAGGTCAAGCCCATACTAAATAGCCTGCCAAGTAGACGAAGCGTTCTCGGAAAACGCCGTTTCCTCGAGGCGTCTCTCAGGATAGTAATGAGCTTTGAAAACTTGCGCACAAAGACTGTTGAGTTTAGTTAGAAGCCGTCAGACAAGGGTGTCCTGGAGTGTCCGGCCAGTCCGCCACGTCAGCATGACCCATCTCAGACCACCTTTTCATTTTCTTTCTTATTTCTTTCTCTGTGACGCTGGAACACTATCCAGACGCATCCGCCGACGTACGAGGGAACATCTTAGCCTAGTGCAGTTGACGATGTCCTTATCACGTTACTGATGTGTTTTCTTCCAGTAGTGTGATAAGACTAGAGGCCAGCTGCCATGACGTATTATACTCCCAGCTCCGTGGAGGGAACGCATCATTGTCCTGTCACGTACGGCTCCCGACCAGGAGAAAAATCTCTCCATTATTGTTGTCGTGCCGACGAGTGGTGAGAGTTGCATCTTATCAATTTTTCTTAAAAAGGAAACAATCTTGTCTTAATCTGGCAACACTGATATGCATGATAAGTGTATCATCATTAGGGTTGTCATGCCCGTTGCCATGGAGGCAGGGCAGTTAGCTACTTAGCTAGCTTTTGCGTGGATAATTAAACATCCTATAATCACGGTTTGAGGGAATTAATCAGGTCGCGAATCCGGACATGTATAATGTCAAGGTTACTAGAATAGTTTTTTTGCAAGCTAATTGGAGAGCTTTATTCATCGAAAAGCATTCTTGGATGAGTCAGCCAATAAGCTGGTCAACAAGAAGCTTGGAGTTTCATCCATCCAGCTATTTGTTACATCCAGTGCACAAGCACGCTTCGCACAGAGATGCACAGGAAGATTAGCTGATCTACTTACATGGCAAATATCGAAAGATGTAAAGTAAGTACTAAGCTCTCCTATCTCATCTAATAAGTAGGCCACAATAGATCAAGAATTGTGACGAGAATTCTATAGTATCACCAACTTCAAGCAGTCTACTTTCATTATCACATGGGAGAAACCTCGGAGAGTAGCAAAACAAACACCATCACATAGGGAGAGACTCTCTATGATCAGGGGACCGTGATCCCGGAGTATGGCTTGCACCACGCACTAAGCAGGGCCGAGGGAGACCGAGCGACTCCACCCGCCCCTCCCCGGTCGTCCGCTAGATTGAGCCCGCCGTCAGTGTTGATCTTGACATAGCCCTCGTCAGGTTACTAGAATATAGTTAGAATTAATTTAATTCACGACAGTAGTTGTAGAATTATTAGTCACATCCGGAAAAAAATTAATACGATACGCTTGTGCCATAGTGACAAGACTTGCAGTTGGAATGGGCCAGAAGAACCCGTGGAGAAACAGCGGCCTGCTCAACTACTGGATCAAGACTTGAGGCGAGCTGCCGTGCCGTATTATTCATGTTTTCTCAGCTCCGTGAACGGAACGCCTCACTATCCTGCCACGCACGGCTCCTGTAGGAAAATCTCCTATAAGTGTTATGAGAGTCACACCTCTACCAATTCATCTTTTATTAGAAAAAAAAGGGCAATCTCATCTCTGCCGACGTACCCCTTAGCTGGTATGGTTAATGTATTATCTTAAGCCTTGCAAAACGGATCTACCGTCTCTTGGTTAAAAAAAGTCTTAGGGCATGTATAATGGTTGATAAGACAGTTCTATCTTAAATCTTGCATGCAATTTAGAGATAATAATAAAAATATGTCTACAATGTATTACCTCTTAGACTTATGTAAAATAACTAGCTATTCCTAAAACATGGTGAGACATATTGTGCTAAGAGACCATCTCTTAAATAAGAGAAGACAAGCCTTTGCTTATGGATTCTCTTTCCTCCACTCACCATTTATCCTATGTGGCACTCCTAAGATAGCACCATTGTACATGCCCTTATACAATCCGGGTAGTATGCTCTCCATCCCTCGACCCTCTCCTGATTTTGACACCTGGCAAAATGAATCTCAAAACATCTCCACCTTTGACATCTATCTAGGTGGCTAGCTTCGTGCACAGCTAATTACTCCCTCCGTCCCAAAATTCTTTTCTTACATTTGTCTAGACACGGATGCATCCAATATTAAAACGTGACTTGATACAACCGTATCTAGACAGATCTAAGACAAGAATTTTGGGACGGATGGAGTACATCCTATTCACTATTCCAAGGAATTTATCAAGTCTACGAATATGGGTACATAATTGCACTTTAGAATTACTTTAATTCAAGTTAACATCGTGCTAGCAATATTAAGTGCATACAGTAAAATAGACATACACGTTTGTCCGGAAATTTGAACTGGCATATGGATGAAATTTGCATGATACCACACACTTGAACCCGACAACAAGATGGTTAGGACATTTCCAACGGGCTCCCCCACTTCTGCCCATTAGTTTGGACCAGACTATTCTCACCCAAAAAGCAATCGAACGAGCTTCCCAATTTCAACCCGAAT